AATATATAAATAAATACACAAAAAAAACGAGGGGGGAGGGAAGAAGACACAACAATTACAATACCTTGAAGTTGATACGACAAGCAAACAGAAAGGACATTGTTCGGAGGAAGGGGGTGAGGGAGGAGGGAGGGAGGTTTCAGTAACTGGCCACAATAATTCACCACATTGTATATTGACAAAATAAAATAAAATTTGGAAGGAAAAAAAAAGAAAAGAAAAGAATAACTGACCCAAGAGGTAATTTCTATTAATACATAACCATTACCCATATTTTAGAAATGTGCTTCAAAATGAAGAATACTTTTTTCTCAATAAAATGTTTTATACTCACATCTTTAAAAATTACACAATGTTTCTCTTGTTCATCCACTACTCATTTCCCTACTAAGTCTATAGAATTTATTACTCATTTAAAATTTAAAATTTTAATAAAAATATAGAACAGACTAACAATATTTCTTACTTTGCTTTAATACATTAAGAAAATGCCAAACAAAAAGAAAATCTTACTTTTGTTTAATATTTAAGGATTGAAATGCAATGGTGTGTGTTAAATATTTCATTAAAGGGACCATGTGAGTCAGCCTACACTTTGGGTTGTGAGCTTATTGTCCCCTCACTCCATGAATCTTTGTGACAAGAACTTAATTTATTTGATCAAAATTGTGTAAACATCACTCTGAGAAAGAGGGGCTGATACATAGTTTTAGCACACAAAAAACAGTGATGCCACTCAAAACAGTATTGTGTCAAGGTAACAATGGGCAGTGGGCTCAGGAGGGCTTTGGCTAACTGGGATTGACAGATGCTGAGTGCATTAATAGACGTGGTATCCTCAGGGTTGAATGGAAACACCATTATGAAACACCACAGACATTTGACATCATGGGTCCTAAAGAGGTCTCTATTCTAGTTACCCACGCAGCCAGATCCGTCCCAGATACCTATGGTGTTGTTACCAGCACACCCAGCACCCTTGAGACAGCTCATTTTCCTTTGAACGAGTTAGCGTAGTTTTCTGCCAATCTGTGTCTTTGCTTTCTGGCAACCAGGAAATTAGTCAACTCTAACCAGGCATATCAATTTTTTAGGTACCCCTGGGTTAGATGGACGAAGCAATCTTTATTCAGTACCATCTTCAATCACTAACTAGTTCACATTTTGAAGTCCATTTCACACCTTCATCTTTTTTTTTTTTAACTCTCAGAGCTCTATTCTTTTATAATTCATAGGCAAGAGAAACAGGTTTTGACTCCATCTGCCTACACTACTCCATTTCAGTACCTATTTCTCAGTCTTCACTTTATTTTCTTGCCAAATGCAATAAAACAGGCAATCTCACACTTAACCTTCTATTACCCAGACACAAGAGATTATTTTCATCAAGTAGCAATTTTTTAAGTGATAGGCTTAGCCATTAATGTACTTCATATGCTGACTACTTTTTCCCATTGTCTTCAGATCAAACATAACATGAAATCTCCATACCAGGAGGGGCACATTTACTGCTTCAACATTTTATGCAGAGCTGCCTTCACCTCCTGGTTCTTGAGGCTGTAGATGAGGGGGTTCAGCAAAGACGTGATCATACTGTACTGAATGGAGACCACTTGCTCCAACATGGAGCCTGAGAGAGGAGTCACATACCTAAACAAGGCGGTTACATAGTACAAAAGCACTACAGCGAGGTGGGAGGAACAGGTAGAGAAGGCTTTACCTTGACCCCCAGAAGAACGGATGCCTAGCACGGCAGAGATGATTCTAGAGTAAGAAAAGAAGATCAGGGGAAGAGTCACAAACCCTAGCAATGCACATGACCCAGCAAGAAGGGCCTCATTGACAGTTGGATCAGTGCAGGACAGAGGGAAGAGTGAAGGTAGCTCACAGCAGAAGTGAAAGATGACATTGGGGCCACAGAAATGTAAGTTGTAAATGAAAAGATTGTTTGGCAAGGAGTTTAGGAACCCCACTGTCCATGCTGCAATCACCATCCTGATACAGAGAGGCCTGCTCATGACCACACTGTAGAGCAGAGGATGGCAGATGGCAGCATACCGGTCATAGGCCATGGCAGAGAGTAGGCAGGCCTCTGTGCTGCCAGAGAATATAAGAAAGAAACTCTGGACTGTGCAGCCCCACATAGAGATCGTTTTCCTTTGAGATAATAAGTTCTGTAGCATCTTGGGCATGGTAACTGAAGGAAGGCAGAGATCCAGAAATGACAGGTGACCTAGGAAGAAGTACATGGGTGTTTTAAGGTGAGAATCAGTCCTGATCACCAGGATCATCATCAGGTTCCCCATCAGTGTCAAGAGGTAAATCAGCAGGAACAGAACAAAGAGCACAGTCTGGATCTGGGGGTTTCTAGACAATCCCATGAGTAGAAACTCAGTAATGATGGTGAGGTTTTCCATGATTAGAGATACTGGCCCTAAAAGAAAAAAAAAATGCAACTAAGTCGTTTCAGATGAAGAGGACTTCCTCTCCTATGAAAACTGTGACTTCCAGCTCAGAGTTATAAATAAAAAACCATGAAGCCAAGGTTTTTCCATCTGGGTCACACTCATCACCCCCACCATTACTTCAACTCTGGAGGAACGTGGCATTCCAAAGTCCCTTCACCCTTACTGCTTTCTTAATACCCATTTATTTATTCAGCAAATATTTAATAAGCATCCAAGTGCTGGGCACTGTACCAGACCCTGAGTAAGCAAAGCTGAATGAAACATGATTCCTGCCCTCCAAGGACTTGGAATTTAACAGAGGCAGATAGACATGTAAATAAACAAAACAAAGGCTATAATAACCTAAAGCACAGGATACAGTGGAGGTACAAATTTGAATCAATTATCTCTGGTTGACCTGGTAAACCTTCAGAGAAGAGGTGATGCATAAGCTTGTTATGACTGATACTTACTCCACTAGATATGAAGTAGGAAAAAACAGGGATCTGCCCCAGGGAGGCTGCTCATAAATATTCAGGCTAAACAGACATTAGCCACCTCTTTGTTCTGTAGCTAATGAGCCCATAATAAGCTAACACCTGCTAACAGCAGTTTAACCACCATACCAATAAGCTTGGTCTTTTTCAGAACCCTGTAGTTTTCTGAACAGGAAACAAAACCACAAATGCCACAACACATGTGCACTAAGAAAGGACAGAGCTACAAATGACTGAAAGTAGACCTTCCACACATGGTGCTAGGCCAAAAACAGCAAACTTAAGGGAAAATTGGCCCCGTTGAGCATGAGCTTTTCCTTCAGAACCCCCATTGAGCAGGCAAGGAAGTTAGAGCTTGCTCAAGCAAAAAGGCATCCAACCCCCCTTTTTCCTCTCCCTTTCTCTTGAATATTCCTCCCATAATTAAGTACAGAGACCCCATTCCCACAGAAATCAAGATGTAAGCCCCCCGCCTAAAAGCCCACAGGGTGTTCCTCAGTCACAAGGATGCCCATGCACTCTTCTGTGTGTACTTTCACTTTGCAATAAACTTTGAATGTGAGTTCAACACTGCCATTAGAGTTATTGTGGGTTCTTGATGGGATTCCTCCCTCGAGAAATCCGAGAACCTATATCTTCAGCATCAGATAAACAATGTGAAAGACAGCATTCTAGGCAGAGGAATTGGCATGATCAAATATCGGGAGGAAAGGAAGGAAGGAAGGACTACAATAATATGTTGAACTTTCAGAAAAAGAGAACAAACACAGGGATACTAGAGACAGGAGAAAGGGAGGGAGGAAGGTTGGGGAGTGATTTGTCAGGTAAAGGGCCTAAAGAATAATTATTAATAAATTACACTTGTTTTGCAATCAGTTTTACTCTATCAAGGAGATGTTATTATCTCTATTTTTTTTCCAACATGTAACAGATCCTCTCCGTGGTGAACTAAGTAATCCAAGGTTTCCAGGCTAATCCAATTAGTATCGAAACTAGGACCACACTTTAAGGCTTAAAATGATTCCTTTTTATATATTGTGTCATATAAACCTCAGGAGATAACTCAGATGAGAAAATAGACATTCAGATTCAGATTTGTCTCTTTGCCCAAAGCCAGACAGCCTGACCAACAGCAGAGCTGAGACTCATGTTAAGGTCCTCCAACTCTTTATAAGGCCTTATCAGCCCCATCCATTCAAGAGAGCCACAGATACTTCAGACTGGCCCCTTACTCAGAACAGGGTCACAGGCATTACAGCATATGTGACATCTCACTACTAGGATGGCTTATATCCTTACTACAAATCATGCACGAATTTATTTATTTGTTCTTTTACTTATTCAATAACCAAAAATATTTGGCACAATATTTTGACACAATATATAAAAATGAATCATTTTAAGCCTTACAGCATGGTCCTAGTTTCAATACTAATTGGATTAGCCTGGAAACCTTGGATTACTTAGCTCACCACAGAGAGGATCTGTTACATGTTGGAAAAAAATATAGAGATAATAACATCTCCTTAATAGAGTAAAACTGATTGCAAAACAAGTGTAATTTATTAGTATATGAATTCTATTTCTGATAGGAACTAACTTAACTAGTTCATGGTTGATTCTTCTTGGTTTAGTCTAAGCATGCTGCTGGGCACAGGGTAGTAACCCATATTTTTGCCTAACATATTTTGTTACTCTTTTAATTGTCTCCTCAGTATTTTCGCATTTCCCTTTTTCAATATTCTTCTACAATACTTACCCTTTGGGATTTATCATCTAGCACTGAGTGACTCCAGAAGCCTTATTGCTGGACCCTTTGTCTGCAGATTCTTTCCTGCAATGAATTCCAGGTGCTGCAGTTCCTGCAGCAAAACTGAAATTGTGCCATGAATAGCCTGAAATTCTATGTATATACTATATAATGGAAAATTTCCACTATGCTATAACCAAAGACTTGCAAACTAAAGCCAGATGGTGACAGTGTTTTATATCTATTTATATGAAAATAAACTATTTTAAATCACAATACCTAGTGCTGGCAAGATTTGGTGAGACTTATATGCCTTACATGTTGTAAAATACATTACCTGTTGGTAAAACACTTTTGGTAATATGAAATCTAAAATCTCTCTTTTGGAAATTTATCCCAAACAAATGATTCAAAAAACAGAAAAACAAAATCTATGTGTGAAAAATGTATATTTCGGTATTATTTTTCAAGACAGTAATACTGGGATCAACCTAAAGTTCTAATAACTGAAGAATAGGCACTATGTTTCAGCGGAAACACATGACAGAGTATTTTCTAATGATTAAAATAATAACTATAGAGGAGAAACAGACACTGAAAATATTCCTGATATGCTGTCTAGTAAAATGATCAGAAAACACAATTAGTTTAAATTCATTAAATGATGTAAAAAATATACACACAGTAGAGGATTACATGGAATTAAAAATGGAAAACTAAACAGCTGAGTTATTAGGGTGGTAACAGAGTGGATGATTGTTTTGATTTTACATTTTTAAAATACGGTTTTATGTTTTCAATAAAAAAACATATTTTGGGGGGGAGTAATGTACAATTCACATTCTTACCTTTTTGCTTCAAACTCAGCAATTACCTAAACCCAATTCCAGTAAGGAATATATACCTATTTCTTCTGACTTTCTATTTCTGCCACGTATGCTCCCTAATAAAACTGAACTTAGTCTGAAACGTCATTTCTTCAAGAAGGGGGCTTGGTTGCTTAGGTAGAGAATAGAAATGGCTCAAGCAGGTTATTTTTCTACTAGTTATTCTGTCTGTTGCTTACCCTCTATCTAGGAGCTCTTCGGTCCCAAATCTGGGATCTAGGAAACTTGTCCGGAGGAAGAGGATGGTCCTAAGGCCACTGGGAAGGTTGTAGGCTGGGGCTCCTCTGCATGGAAAGATCTTTGGCAGAGAAGGGAAAAGAAAAGCTTTTGAAGGGAAGGAGAGTGTGTTGAAGTGAAGCACACTGTGCTCTTGTGGAGTGGGAAGAAAGGGACATCAAAGATGTTCTCTCTTCTCCTTCATCTCTCACCCTGGCTGCAGACTTTGTGGTCTCCCTGAGTAAATCTTCATAGATACATGGTGTTTTGGCTTTCAGACAATGAAAACTTTTTTTTTTTTTTTTTGGTTTTTGGTTTTGTTTTCGGCAGCTGGCTGGTATAAGATCTCATTTATGACAGGAACATGAGTGGGACTTTTAGATTTTGCTTTATCTCTGAAAAATTCTAAGAAACTGCACAATTAGTCTATGTTTCCTACAGATTTGGTATTGCTTGAAAATGGAGCCCTGAACTAAATGACCTCTCAAATTAATTTTAACCTAAGATTATGGCATTTATTTATTTATTTATTTATTTATTTATTTATTTATTTATTTATTTAATTTATTTTTGTCTTTTTTCGTGACTGGTAAGGGGATCGCAACCCTTGATGTGGTGTCGCCCGCACCCGCGCTCAGCCAGTGAGCGCACTGGCCATTCCGAACCTGCCGCGGGAGCGTTGTTGTGCTCCCAGTGCCGCACTCTCCCGAGCGTGCCACAGGGACGGCCCAGGATCATGGCATTTAGATAGGAAATCCCCCACCAGAGAAAATGAGAATACTCCAAACTAACTGTCACCCATAATTCAGATTTGCTCCCCCTTGCCTTTCATCCAAGCTTCCCATCCAGCAGTTATATTTCCTCCACCCACCCACCCATTCAATCCCAAAGGAATCTTAGCCTGTTGTCCAGAATCTGATAAATAAAGGAAAAGGACAAACAGATTACAGATTGATAAAATGACAAACTGTTCAACTTCCTAAAATTTCTTATCCCAGCTCGGTCACGACCTACTTTTGTGAAGCAGAATGCTTTTTGCTTCCTCCTTCTAGCTCAGTTCCCTCTGCTGTGCAATGAAACGTTTGAAACGGTTGCCTGTTTAGATTCCACATCTGACCCTACGGGAAAGACTGAGAAGGACTGTTGACTCCAGCTCTTCCCTGGAGATCTGAGTTTCTGCCTTTTGACTCACTTGGAGAGATGAATAAATTCAAAGAACTCAGTGAGGTCTCAGGAAAAGCTGGTCTACTTCTCCAACCACTTGAAAACTGTATGATTAATGCAGTTAGGCAGTAGTCGACATGTGTTTAGTTTTGGATGTTGACATGCCTTGACTCTGGTTTGAGTCAGTACTGTTATGAGGCTTTGGCCATTCTCTTTTTCTTCCTCCTCATTCCTCCTTTACCTCTCTTGATTCTGAGGAGGGTTCCTGGCAAGTTTATGCAACTTTTATTTCTAGTCTCTTCCTACTTGGTACCCATGTGCCAAGCAGGCCCCTGGAGGAGAGAGGAATGAGAGCTCCAAGTTGCTGGGGACTAATCCATACGCATGGAGAAAGTAGCAGTATCCAGTTATTTGGGCCCTTGGGATGGGGATCCACCTCTGCCGCTATTGTGGTCT